TAAAAGCGCTCGGAAGGGTCGAAATCATTGAATATCATAATTGGATGTGATTCTGATGAGGTTTGGACCGATTGGAGCGGTTATTGTTAGTGGGCCGATTTCCGTTCTTATGCGGACTTCACCTTTCAATATAATTACTCATCAGTTAGTAAAGTCAAGCAGTTTTTGTGTACTTTCCCTTTTTATTAGCTCAAGACATATACAAAGAAGAAAAATCATCAAATACTTCTGTCTCTCTCCTTCTCTCTGTATACAACTACTCTATGTAATCTATTCTTTGTTAAATATAAATTATCTTTGGCCAATAGTATATGTGAATGATTTGCTGGTAATGTTTTATCAAATAAATGTAATGCTTTTTGAACATAATCTTCTGCATCTTTCCATTTACTCATTTGTATATACATAATATCAATATTACTATATGTTGTACCAAAATTAGTATGAGTCTCGGGATATAAACGTTTTTGTATATCTAAATTTGCTTGATAATATTGAATTGCTAATTTAAATTCCTTTTTACAGCTTAATCCACTCACTGCACAGGCTTTAGTACAAACATTATAACCACCATCCATGTGGTGATAGATTTAATAATACTTGTTTTATAAATTTAAAAGCTTTAGTATAGTCCCTTTGAAATTGATGTACTTCAGCAATTGAAAATTGACTTTGTGTCATGCGTTCACGAGGGGAAATTATAATTCCAGTTTGTTTTTCGTTTCTCTAATTAATTTCAATTCAATTTCATAACATGTTTTATATTCATTCAAAAATTTAAATTGATTCGAATTAATTTCTGAACAAAAAGTTTTTCAACAAAAATTCAGGGCAAGCATCCGGGATTTTACGTCTAAAGTTTTTTTTTCCAAATTCGAATTTTTTAATTTATAGTAAAATTTCAAAAACATAACGAAGTAGATTAAGCAAAAATAGTGTCTTTCTAAATTAGAAAAACTACATGTCCGCCTGGCATACAGAAAACTGTCCGCTGTGTTTCGAGTTTTCACTGCAGTACGTGTTGTTCAGCGAGCTGTAACTCTGAAGGAGAAAATGGCTCAAACAATTGTGTTTCTATGGCGACCGCATTTCATTCTTTTCTTGTCGTATGTACCTTAGATAAATTCTAAATCCGCTAGTGATCTAGCCCTTCGAACGGCTAATGGACGTTCATTTCACATCTGATTCTGATATTATAAATATTTTTGAAGCTATAAATTTTAATACAGATTTCATACATTTTTCTTCTGAAACGGAATGAAAAAGCTATTAAAACATCTCATTGCAGAATGTTTTTTGTCGGCTATCTAATCAAGCAACAGGAGTCCTATTATAAAAAATTAGAAGTAGGAGCAGAATTTTCTCCGTTTATGGTGTTATTAATGTCGGATAAATATAGAATGCGTGAGAAAAGGCTAAAAAACGTTTTCACTGTCCATTGCCTTGGTATAATGAGAGCCGTTAACTATGATTCATACATCTTTTTCATTTTCAGTGGATATAAATTACGGTTTTTCGGTAGAGTTTGTACGATTTTAATCTTTTAGTACAATAGACAGGGTAAGCAAAGAAACATAAACAGCAGGAAACTATAACTACGCTTCTGATCCATGTAGTACATGAAACCAAAAAGTCTTAAAGAGAAGATACTTTGAAAATTAATCGGCGTTTTTTCCAGGTCCACTCCATCGCATTAGCTCTACTTCTCTTCTTTACTTTTTTATTTTTTCACAGTCCAAGCATACATTAATTAGGTAAAAGTTACGGTGTTACCAGTATGCTTCCTTCAAATTCTGAATGTAGAAATATGATGAAGGGAAGACGGATTCATATGCAGAACTTTCTAGAGAATATATCAGCGTGTTTTGTTTTAACTCATAAATAGTTTTTTGCTCGATATACTATGTTTGAATGGGTTAATAAGTGAAAACGTTTTAAAAATTCTAACTTCAATATTTTAAAAGTTATATAGTGGAATATAGAAATTAAATGTATAGTTTTCTAGCAAAGTAAATTCTAATAGTTTTTGATATTTATGGGTAGCAATTTGAGTAGAAATTTGGTTGAGATAACAGCAGCTTTAAATTTTTGTTTGTTTAACATTTTGATGTTTATTTGTCAACGTTTATCTTCACCATCAGCCTTAATAATTGCAGTCCTTCTGGGTATACAACCAACGCGACTGAACACTGAGTTCTATTTAAGGTTGGCTGTCTGTGACGTATTGCTAATGACCCCCGTAGTAGCAACCAAATATTTTTGGGATCTGTCGCAAGTATTTTCCATCCTGACCAATCAATCTTATGCTTTGTTTCAATTTCGTGTTGCCTAAGAGCAGATTTAGTTTCTTCGTCCTGACCGTTATCTGCATCGACTGCATCGATGGAAGCTCCATCGGAAAAATAAGTAACAGACTTTTTTCCTCTGTGTCTCGTACATTGACGTAATTGTGAAGCGGAAGCGGTTGTTAAGAGACTTGTTCGAGATAAAAATTCTACTACTTGAGGGGCACCACGTTCCTGGAGTCTTCTTAAGGCTTGCCTGATAGTTTTATCGATGTATGATGCCTCACAGTCATAGCGATTTGCCAAATAAACAATACGTGATCGTAGATCCTGCGGTATAGGGTACAAATGGCTGGCGGAGGGCGAGGGATAGGTTGAATATGGGTTTGAGGACAAATTTGTTTTGCAAGATTAATACTTCTCTTTTCGAGGATTTTTGTTTGTTTCGCAAAGAATGGAATGTCAATGAAAATTTGCTCTTTTTGGTAACGTCTGTACACTGATCACTTACGAATGTGATCATCTAATCTATACTCTTTCCTACAATACTACAGGGAATATCAGACGTCAAACGACAATTGATGAGCCGCCGAAAGTCACTGTAAATTCACTAATGCCCGTAACAAAAGGAATGAATATGATATGTTTCTACGAAAAACGTAACGTATTTAATGTACGTCTAACGCAGTCCAGTGATAAGTTCTATATGAATATGATGATCATTGGATGGATAATGGTTGGATGTTATGCCTTATTCTTAATCACAGTTCTCCTAGTTTACTGTGCTACTGGAGTATGGACATTTGTTGACAAGCTGTATCACGACAAAACTGCTACTGCGGCGACGAAGAAGCAACAGGAACAGATGGAGAATATGTTTACTTTGACATCGTTGCCTGATTTAAATATCAGTAATCAAGAGCGTCCAGTAGATGTTCAAGATGCACAAAGCCTTACTGTACACTTGTAGCTTTTTGTTTTGATTTAAAATAAATTTTATTTTAACTTGGATTTCATTACGCTTTTTTTACAGATCTGCTCGAAACCTTCGATAGTAATTCGGATCACACTACTTCCGTCTAAGTTACCTTCATTTTCAGTTGGATTTAATTGTTGATTGAACTATAAAAACTTATAAGGATACGGTTATCCAGAACCTTTCACGGACTTCTGCTCTAATTTTTCAGTCTTCTTTTTTAACATAGGTTCTATTTGCTTTTATTATGAACACCTTTTTGAAATAATGTAAAGGCTTAAAACATCTTTCGGTCCGGCTCCTAAATGATTACTCAATTTTTGAAATAATTTTGTATTAGTATTCAATTGATACTCTGACCCATTTTTTCGACTGTGAAAAAGAGATAAACAAAATGAGTAATAATGATCCAATATTGAATCGGTATTTTCCCCGAAGCAAAAAAAAGAGAAGGAAGAAGATACTATGCTTAAAGGTAAATTGTATACGTTAAAATAAGACACCATCGCTTTGATATTAATAGCCCATTCACACATATAGAGAAAGTTATAATGTTTATGGCTAAGCTTTCTGTTCGTGTTTTTATTTATCTGTTTCTCATCGGTATCCTTTTTGGTGCAGTCGGACTTTCTTGCTGTTTTAAAGTTAAACATATTCAAAAACAGTACATTCAACCTGCATGTAGTGTAATCAATTCTACTATATTCGGAAGTATGTGTGAATACGAATATTGTCCTTCTTCTGGATGTCATTACACACACGAAACATGTATTTTATATTCGTATGCTATTATCTTTTCGACAACAAATGCAAGTGCTATGTCCAATATAGTGACAAAAAGAGACTATTCATTTGCACAAGTATGTGTTCGTTGTGATTACTAGAGACATGTATAGTCAGTTATATTCAATAGTTTGTAATTTTTCTTTTAGATAGAAACAAATGTCACCTGTTTCTATGATAAACGCTCTGTTACGAATGGGAACCCAGTAGTACGATGGTAGCGACCAAGAGTAAAAACAGCGATTATTGGAGGATGCATAATGATTGGCGTTCCAATTATATATTGTCTTTTGAGCATTCTGGGGTACATTTGTGATTAAAGGTAACATCACTTCTATCACCAACGAGAATCAGGTACATACCTTATTAGTAGCTAAGCTTTTTTTATTAAAAATTTAATTTTTTTTATTGAATTCTACAATAATTGCTTGGGCTGTTACAGTTAACTGTTTTAATTTTGTTTCATCATTGCTTAGTGCAAAATAATCTATAATTTCTAATAATGATTTGTATGTACGTGGGAAAACAACATCGAACACATAAAACAACGCTAATAACGTTGATAAAACAACAGGAAAATCTTCTTCATCGTTTTCAAATTGGATTAATATTTGATTACCAAACGTAATATAATAAAACTGACGTTGTACAAGTGTAACCGAATAAAGTAAAGGACATATATTATCTTTATCTAATACTTTTTGTAAATCAAATTCATACTCATCTCCAGTAATCTTGAAAAGAAATAAAAGCAAAAATCATAGCGAATAAAATGATCATAAACAAAATAATACAGCAAAAATCTGCCATATTGTTCTTTTTATGTGATTTTCTTACTTCTTCTCTGTGTAAAATATTTCTGTAACGTTTTCCTATTCTTGTACAAACACGTAACAACAATTCTTCATATTTCTAAACAATAGAATTGAAAGAATCACTTAAAATACGAGTTCAAAGTAGTGAACGTTTCCTTACATTTTCATCTGGTAAATCACCATAAATACCACTGTGCACAGCATGTTCAACCCAATTTTTGAGTTTGCCAGCAGCATTTTTCAAAGAACATTTTGTTATCAGTTCAAAGTCAACTTTGATCTGTAAAAGTGTTTAAAACAACATATAGTTTGTACGGTCTAGAACAGGATAATCAAAGTCGCGTCACACTGATCTTACGAGACCCTAACCTAGAATTTCAAAGAATGATCTTACTTTTACTCCAGCTTATACGGAGACCCAGAAGTTTTCTATCTATTTCATTGAATCAATTTTCCTTCATAATACCTGACGGGGGACACGACTTAGAAGACAAAAGAAGAATCGCTGAGATACTAGCGCTGTGTCTGTTAAATGTAAGATTTTTGAATTAGTCTCAAAGTATAGGAAAAAATTTTTTCTTACGAAATTCAGATCTTTTGTAAATGGCATTTCATTTAATATCTGCTGCATCGATTGGCCAACTTGAGTTAAATAAGCACGACGTACACGAAACGATTCGACTATAAGTTGACTTGTTTTCCCAGTTTTCATTTCATTATTTTCGTAACTGTCATTTAATTGTATCACAAATTTTTTTAAATCTGCATTCGTATCTAAATACAACAAAGGATCGATAAGATTAAACTAAAGGTATAAATGCAGTAGAAAGAGAGTCATTACCAATATAAATCAAAGTTGAAGTTGAAGGGGCCTTAATATCATCTTCATCCCCGTCATCATAACGATTGGCGTCCCAATTTAGTTTCTTCGAACATTGTTTGTTATTCGCTCCATTGCCACTACCCCGATTACGTAACTCACGAATACGTCTTGATAACTTTTGTTTGAATACATCCTATAACTTGGGTAAACAAACAAAAAGTGTGTCGTAAAAAGCTTAGCTCGGACTCACGAGAAGTGAATCATGATGTAATTCATCCAGTTTAAATTGTTTTGCAAATGAATCTTTGATTGTTTCATAATGACATCTCGATGATACATTAAAATCTATCAGATAATCAGCGCATAATTGCACGACTTGTCGCATAACACATAGTAATTGATCTAGGAGGAAACACACGATATACGGAAAGCAGATTTTCATCTTGTATATTTGTGTAAAAAAGAGAAAGAACTTGAATGTTAACGAGACTAATTTGCACCTTCACCTTTAGCAATTGCAGCTTGCACCCTTGCTGGCAGTGTGGAGACATATCCCGATCGGGATATCATTTTTTGCAGCAAAAATTTTTTTATATCCCGAACGGGATATAGTTTGAAATTATATCCCGATCAGGATATCAAGAATTTTAATTTTTAATTTGTAAGGAAATGATAAATTTTAATTATATGACAGCTGAATATTCTTCTCCTTCTTCTTTATTTATTTTAAAAATTTTTTGTTGGTTGATGTAACTTCGTTCATCAAATCTAATTAGTTTAAAAGGAGTGGTGCCGTGACAGGCAATATGAGTATAAATGCCGCAACGCCTGGAATGATGATGTTCTCTTGGCATCTTTAGAAATGCTGGCTTCACGACTGATATACGTTTTAACACATACAACAAGTTGTGATTCACTTATAAAAACCATAAGGCAGTTTATCTGCAAGAACGGATAGTTAGAAAATTCCCCGTTAAACACAAAGCACGTATATTTATATATTGTCGACGCATGAGAAAAGAATTGTGTTTCAATATATGTGGGCATCGACAAGGAAGAAATAAAAAAACACGGTCGACGTGAAAAGCGATTAGATCAAGAGTATATCCCATTATGAGCAATAAAAGATTAACAGCCTATTTCCCGATCGGGATATAAATTCGACTAAAATTTGTTAAAAATTTGTATTCGAAAAAATAGTTGCTGGGCGTTTGATACACTTTTGATCAAACACAACAGAATCCGATGTAGTTTCTCGAGCTCTTTCTAATGGTGACGTCAATTTTACCCCAAAATGACGTCATTTTTCCCTTAATCGTTTTTACGATGAATTTTCGTGTTTTATATTCCGATCGGGATATAAATTCGACTAAAATTAGTTAAAGGTTTTTGTTCGAAAAAATAGTTGCTGGGTGCTTGATGCACTTTTGATCAAACACAACAGAATCCGATGTAGTTTTTCAAGCTCTTTCTAATGGTGAAGTCAATTTTACCCCAAAATATCGTCATTTTCCCCTTAATCGTTTTTACGACGAAATTTCGTGTTTTATATCCTGATCGGGATATAGCTATATCCCGATCAGGATATAGGAGGTGTCCCCTTACTGTAAGGAAACAAACAAATATAGTTATTTTTCAAAATAGTTACACATCTTACAGGCCAGATATATTTAAGGTCATAAATATTTTGTGGTACAATGAAATCCATCGAACGCGTGTGATAAAATCCAATATTAACATCAAAATGATCGATAGAAGATAATTTTAATTTTAAAATATATTGTTGTTGTTGAATGATAATTTGTACTGTTTGACCAAACACAGGATCAGAAGGAAAAATATGATTATTCATTAAAATAAAATCACCGAGGTTATATGTAACACCAAATAGAACGACGCGTTCTGCCTCAAAAATTGGTATCTGTTGAGTGAGTGTTGGATGACATTGGACTGTGGTCATATCGATCTCTTTGGTTTTTTTGATTGTATGACCACCATATAAAAACGAATGAGAATAATTGTCGTTGCACGTCAGCATTTGTGATGCTATGTAATACTGATGGCGTCGGGATAGCGTATAGAAGATGTTTTTAAAATTTTTGTATTTGATTGATTTAAAATAGTGTTTTTTTTCAAAAGCTAAACAGCCGGTGAATCGTAAGGGACCAAAACGAATCATTTGCTCGTAAAGGTGTAAGAGAAAGTGATGTTTTGTTATTCTTCTGACATTTCCAAAAGAATTGTCGAAAGATATAAAATATTCAGTTAATAAAGTCTTGAATTGTTCGATGGTGACAATATCGATTTCAGTAGAAAGCGAGAATGATACGATTTCTCGAAGTAACATAAAGGATTTCCACCATTGTGTACTTATTAATTGTTGATAAAGTGGATGTTGGTATAATAATTTGTGGATAATAAGAGGAAAGCACTTAATTAATGATAAAGTTTCACTAGCCGATAAACGCAGTTTGATCTAAATGAAAAGTTAAATCCACACAGGGCCTCAAACAGCAAAAAACATGAGTAGATGAGCAGTTTATTATAATTACCATCTCTTTATCAACAGTTATCTGGAATTTCTCAGATGGAGAAGTATCACCAAAAGCGTAAGGGAAACATCTGATGGCTTTAGATAAAGCTATTAATGAACAATATTTTCCTTTTTTTATTTCTTTAAATACCAACTTTAATTGTGTTTGACATACACCTGAAGCGAGACAGAAAAAACGTCCAGGGACCAAACTGACGGTCTCAAACAGTCCCCGTCGTACAAGGTTTGCAGGGAAACACAAACGTTTGGTATTTTCTCTTATAGATTTTCCTTTTTTTCGATTACCTTCCTTCTAGCAGAACGTGCATGATGTCGATTGTTGATTGTTTGAATATATCAAAATCAGTTATTTTGGCTAACGGCGACCTGGATATAATTCCGAAAAATGATATTTTTAATCATCTTTGAGTCCGTATCCTCTGCATGTTTGCGAGCCTGTATGGCGACAACTCATGCAGAACTTCATTTCAGAAAATATAGGAATTATAGTAGCACATGCTTTTATCCAATAAGATGAGTTCAATGTACCTCTTTTCAAAAGCTCACAAAATTCTAAAACCAACTGTTCTCTTGAATTATATTGAGTATATCGTCAAACTACCAATTAGAAAATAGTCTTTACTGTATCAGGTTCACAGTGGGCATCTAGGCGGACATTAGATGAAAAATCGAAGTTGCTCCTTTTTCAAAAACAAATAGTCTAGAATGTAGCCCTTGAAAAGGGCTATCGAATGGTGTATAAATGTCTATTGTGATGTTCACTCCTTCGCAGA